ACGGGAAGCTCGGAACATGAACAAGACTTAGCGAGTATGCATAGCCATCGCACAACAGCTACAACAACATCAGAACCAACTGGAAGAGCTGCAGTTAATGGGTACGTGCCGYCATTGGATCRAAACGGCAGAGTAGTCACGGAGTCTGATTCGGCGAGTATGCGTAGTCACCACACAATCGCAACTTCAACATCAGAACCAACCAGACSAGCTGCAGTGAATGGGCACGTGCCGACATTGTATCGAAACGGCAAAGCAATCATGGAATCTGATTCGGTGAGCACGCTTAGTTGGCACCGCAAGAAATCTGAGTTCCTGTGCGATTGGTATTATCCGGTTCGCATCACTTTTTGTGACAGCACGTTTCGGATACAGTCGTACGTCACTGCGGTGATTCACCACGAGCATGATTCTACCGTCCACACTCGCAGCAACAGGGGCGAATGGAAGATACCGTATTTTCGTGCCATTGACAAGGCGCTACAGATGCACGGGATTCCCCAGGAGAGTGTCTCCAATGTTGTTATTGGTGGGGATATGRATTCACGGCCACCTTGTGGCGGCCACAAAAAACGCCATCCTAGCCGCAAAGTCCTCCCTCCGAATGGCAGTCGGAACAAAGGCAACAACGCACTAAATATCAAAAGCGAGAGCAACACAACCAAGGGCGCAAAATACAACTCAAGCAAGAAGGAGCCAGCGGTGACATCCACTCCACAGTCTATTTGTCTCCTGGAACGACTTGACAGAATCGCGATGGAGTCATTGTGGTCGCCCACCCTTGAGCAGGAACTCTTGTTTGGATACACGGGACCTACTACAACCTCAACGATGGAAGCTTACGACATGCTGGCGGGGTTTTTGTCGAGTCGAGAGAAAGCCGAGCAGCAGCATCAAGACCAACAAAGATTATCTTCTTACAAGATGATCCTCGATGCAATGAAACCGTTTCGGGATGCCATTCAGAGTCTATCCCAAGATGCTTGTCCTACTGCCGGGTTGGCGATTTCCATTCTTCGAAGAATACGCATGGTTCTTCTCCAGCGACATCCAACATGGGTTGAAGGGRTTGGAACGTCCGGGAAGTCCATRGAACTCCGAGACAACAGCTCCGTGTTCCATAAAAGGGTTTTKGAAAAATTTKYGAACACATTCTCCCCTGTCCTGAAAAAACATCCTCCGTATTCGTGGACCATACTACTTGATCCAAGACTGATTGCCATGCGAGGTCTCTCCGAAAGTGAGCGAAAACGTGCCAAACTGATGTTGATCGAAGAGGTAGCAGAACTTGCATGCGTCGTTGACGAGGAGAAAACAGAACGAATGAGCAACGGCAACAACCACAGTACAAGCCATCCTCAYCATGAGCCAACAACAATGGACGGTTTGTTCTGGGGAGAAGAACCAGTAGATTCACCCTACTGCGATTCCGGGACTWATTCCGAACCCCCAAGGAAGAGGAATGCCGCAAAGAAATATGCCGAGAGCAACGTCCATTTGTATTGCTCCACTGTCACTTCGCAGAGCCGCATTCATGATCCGTTGCAGTGGTGGAAGAAGCACCAGCACCAGTTCCCGGAACTCTCGATGTTGGCTCGGAAGTGGATGAGTGCTTCCGTGGTATTTGGCCGACCAAGATCACACGATCGCGATCGAAACAATTCGTATGATTTGATTCTACGAGCAACTATACCCTGCGAGGCTGATTCTTCGAGCACCGAAGAAATCCGCCGCAGGATATTGTTGTACGAGAACCTAGACTCAATCTAAGCCGATAACTAAGCAATTGTATAATATTTGTTTTCCATTGCAGATTCATTGCCACCAAAGAATGCAATACCATGGTGCTGATGGAAGTGCCGTAGTGCCGTTGCATTTTCGTGGAATCGCATATCGGATATTTCTCGCCTCCTTTCTACAGCCAATTGGCTCCCAAGCAGCATCGATGATAGGCCATAGTTTCCTTTGAGGGGGTGAAATCCTGCTTCGAGCCTCGGAGGAAAGAAAAGCTCCCGATTTGTTGGCACTTTCTAATGAAACGGTATAGCTTATCGTTTCGTTGTACTCATAACCTGTTATCTCGATGGCATTTCCTTCGCACCCTAAAATCYTAAGGACGCGTCAAGAAGAAGTGAAAGCCAGTAGACGAATGCGACACTAAGAAGAGGAAGACAACTGGCGACAAAGGACTTAGTCCTGCTTCTTAGTCAGTTTCAGTAGTAACCCAGGAGTATCGAGTCCAATCAGTAGTATCATCCAGCATCGAGCTCCCGTCACGGCATTCGCTGGTGCTGCCGAATCGCACGCTGCCACTGCTGCAGCAAATGGCATTGTCCTTGCTTTACTACTAGCTTCTTTTTATCATAGTCTCGTTTTCATACGAATTGTCATGGTAGAACTATTTGCAGTCATACTGTAATAAAACTATCTCCCAGCGTGAGGGCGTGGGGGGGGGAATTCGTGTTTTTTGTTGTAGTATTTTAATTAACTATCCCCGTCATCATATCTTATTTCCAACGTCTAACGTACGTACTCGTACCCACAGATGATATGTACTTACTATTGTAATTCAAGTAGAAAAGAAAGAAGCTTTCATCATCTGTGGAGGACAAATATGTGCTGTCTTGCGATGTAATAATGATCGAAATGATCACCAATCATCAAGTGTAACCAGATGGCAGCAGCTGCACCACCACCACCAACAACAACAACGAGAAGAATCGTCCGTCGGACATGGTGGCTCGAGAACAGGAATCGCTGTTGCAAGAGGTTTGGGAATCCTGCGATTCGATTG